TTTAATTTCTCCTTTGCGCTGAGTAAGATTATATAAAGGTCCTATTATTTTCGAAAAATTTGGAATAAACTGACGGAAGTATGAGGCAAGACCTATAAATTGACGAACTTGGGTAACCGTACGAGGAATGCGAGCTTCAACTAAAGCTTGAATTTTCCTAGGATTTGGTCTAATTTCTCCAGCACGAATTTGATAACCTAAGTAATCGATTTCACGTTTCATAAAATGACATTTCTTAATGTTGAGTGAAAATCCGGCTTCTGTAAGAGCTTTAAGAACTTCTTCAAGACATTTCAATCCTTGTTCAATAGTTTCGGACGCACACAAGACATCATCCATATATACAAGAGCCTCACATCCTTTCAGAGCTTTATTTATAGATCGTTGAAAAACAGGCGGTGCATTTTTAAGGCCAAAAGGCATAGTAAGATATTCAAATTGGCCATCCGGAGTTACAAATGCCGTACGCTCTATCGATTCCGCATGAATTGGAATTTGGTGAAACCCAGAGGCCATGTCAAGTGATGTAAAATAATGTGCACCGCAAAGTCTATCAATTTGATCATCAATTCGGGGAAGAGGATAATGATCAGATCGAGTATTATCATTCAATTCTCTGTAGTCAACACACATTCTATCTGTTCCGTCTTTCTTCTTCACTAATAGTATAGGGCTAGCAAAAGGTGAATTACTTTCCCGGATAATGTTAGCATTTAAAAGTTCTTGAATCTTATCTTTTACTATTTGTCGCTCTGATGGTGACAACCGATAGGGACGTCTTTGAACAGTTTTGTGAGGATCTATAAGATCAATTCGCATCTCACCTGTTTTAACACGTGTGATAGGTATTCCCTCTACAAAGTGGGTAGAATAACGCGACAAAATATTCAAGAGGGTTTCTTTGTTATCTCCAAACAAATCAGTATCTAACTGCAATGAATTTGAAATGTAATTTGATTTGTCACAAATGTTAGAAATTTTACAGGGAAAAATTTCCAAGCCTTGTAAACCCATTTGAACAGAAATCCCCATAGAAAGAATGTCTCTTCCTAATAAAATCGGTTCATTCAAACAGTCATCAGGAATTACATGCAATATTACAATTAAGGACAAATTTCGAATTTTTACTTCAGTTTGAATGTGTTTCACACTAGCAATGTCTGATTTTCCAATGCCTACAAGAATAATTCGATTTCGAGTGATTTTACCATTAACATTCGACGCTACACTCTCTTTCATGAGCGAACATTCGGAACCAGAATCAAAAATAAAAGGAAAACTTTTGCCAGAGATGTCCAATATACCTTGAGCTGCTTTTCTATCGCATAAGTTCACTTCCTTCGTGATAGACTTTCCTTTGTTTTCTCTCTTCTCAGGACAGGAGTTAGCAAGGTGTCCACTCTTCGAACAAATATAACAAATAGGAAGACGTTTATCCTCTTGACGCGCTGTTGGTTTATGATTGCTGGATTGTAAAGTTGACAAAGATGAGTCTCTTCTATTCTGCGGACAACTGAAAGACTTGTGCCCCATTTCCCCACAGCGGTGACATGATCCTCGAAACGCTGACAAAGTTGCTGACACAGAGGGACGCAGACGTTTGTTATCATCAGTTTCAGTTTCATCATGTCGTCGTTTTAAAGTAATTCCACGCAATATTCGGCACAGTTGAGAACGTGTGGAAATGATGTTCGCATTTAATTCACGCCGTATGGTTTGATCATGATGCGATAATATGGATATAGCAAAACCAACGATAACTTCTTCAGACATATGCAATTTGGGCACAGCTTCTATCAATCCCCAGAGGCGAACAGCTGCATCAGCTGCGGTCTCTTTTTGGTTTATTTGAAATTTCAGTATACGATCAAAATAATCCTGCATCATCATTGGTTTAGAAAACTTTGAAAGAAGAAGATCTTTAACGTAATTCCAAGTAATTTGATCTGACTTCAGCTTCATTAAGACCGATGCAGCGCGTCCGCGTAGCGCACGCGTGAGCGCCAATAACAAATCAGTACCATCCAAGCGTTTGCTTCTGACAATTATTTCATTTACATTGCACCAACCTTCTATATCTGCATCAACATCATCAGGGTCAAATCGAACAAGATTTGGCAACGCATTTAATGTCCCAGAAGTGTTACTCATAAGTTTTGAAAAGAAAGCCTCCATATCACTTAATGTAACGGATCCACTCATCAATGTATTTCGACCAGTGCTTCGCAAGTTTTCCTCTTCAAGCATCTGCTCTTCCGATCCCACTTCTGATGTCGGAGGCCGATCTTCTTCCATCTCAAATATCCGGTTTTCGTAGTGAGCGTAAGAAATTGAGCGAAGAGGAAAGTTAACTCTTTGAGTCTTTTTAGTTTAACACTTTTTATTTAACATAAACTGCACTGTTAACTTAATAAATTAAACCGAACTTTATTAATAAAAGAGACGCAAGCGATTCGTGCGTGCCGGGCCATTCATCTCGTTGTTATTATTCCTTTTTCTTGTCTCCCTTGACAACCGCCTGGTCGCACGCTTCACTAGAACGGTTAACTTCTCATCCCGCTCTCGCCTCTGAATACTATATCACCACAAGAATCCAAACGCACCGTCAAATACTATTATAATTTTTAATTTTAAATTTTCAAAATTTTATTTGTTAATTCAAGAACCGATGAAGATAAAAAAATAATTTCCTTCTTGTATTTGTTAGTTAAGCTAATTGTAAAATTAAAGCCTTTCGAATTTTATCCAAGTCTCATACTTCTCGAGATATAACCCCTTTTTTATAGTTTACATAATTTTAAAATTTTGATATAACAACTTCTTTCGGGC